GGAAAGAGGCACTGGATCCATCGCACCCAAGTGAAGGCTGCTGACAGCGGTGACAGCCCCCGGAGGTGGAAAGTGGAACTAACCCAGGTCCCACTAAAGGTGAAACTAGTCCCTGCATCATGATCTATCTGCTGCAGCTCGCTGTCATGTGGCGGTTTGGTAAGCCCCTTTCCCACCAGGCCCCACATTATGCCTGGGGGGTGATCCGCACCACGGACGGGGTAGTACTGGCCCGAGAAACGGGCACCAGTGAACCGACTCTCCGGTTTGACCTGTGTAGCCTCTTCAGGGAGGATTGGAACCTGCCCCAGGACAGACCCAGGCTCATGAATTTGGGCTCATCCGGGTCGCAGTTGGGGATCCCCGGGGAATGGCTACACACAGGGCTGCAACCACCTATGGCTGCGGGACCCGAGGGACTGAGCAGCAACTTTGGCATACTCCCCTATATGTCTGCCCGCGCCAGCCCCGGACTCCCTTTCTGAAGTGTGGAGACCAGGAGGATTATTATTGTGGACAGTGGGGCTGTGAAACCTATGCCAAATGGCCCCCCGAAGCTTCCGGACAGGGACATCCGATTCACCCGACAGGTGCGGCCAGGGGCCCCGGAAAGGAACTGTACTGTTGGAAACTGCAACCCCATTGTCATTAAACCAGTGGCATATTGGGCTAAAGACTGGACCGGGGGAAAGACATGGGGATTGAGGCTATATGTCTCTGGACCAGACCCTGGGGTACTGTTTACTATCCAGCGACGGGAAATACCCCAACTGCCCAACCCAATTGGCCCCCTGGCCCCTCAGTGACCCGAGGTCAGGAGACCAAGCCCGGCCTCACGTGTGATGAGCCCGCCACCACCATCATCAAAGACTGAGGCAAGTCGCAGGGATGCAGAAACCTGGCCTCTGCCTCGGGGAGCTCTGCTAAGACCAGACATTTTCGCGCCGCTGGAAGCCTCGTTCCAACTTCTGAACAAAAGTGCGCCCAACCTTACTGCAAACTGCTGGTTGTGCCTCAACCCCGAGCCCCCCTATTACGTAGGGATCAGAGCTTCAGCTCCCTTTGGGGCAAGTGCGGCCCATGTCCGCAATGTGTCCGCGGATGCAGAAACCCTGGGACTATGTGCATGGGAAAAAGGGAGGAGGGGATTAACTTTAGGAGATATTACTGAAGCCAGGCTGTGTGTCGCATCTGCCAACTACTCCCTCCCCGATTCCCCCTATGCAGAAAATTGTAACCAGACACTCCGACTTCCCGAGAGACCAGGGTCCGGGGCCCCCTGGTACCTGGTGGCCCCAAATGGTACCTGGTGGGCATGCATCACCGGAATCACCTCTTGCATACTCTCCCTAAACCTCCAGACTGGGCCGGAGCCAGGGCTCTGTGTCCTAACTCATATCCTGCCGCAAGTGTATTATTACTCAGGGGAAGGAGGAAGGGAGCACCTCCTCACAGAGCCCCGGCGGATTAAGAGAGCCCCGGTTCTGGTTCCCCTACTCGTAGGACTCGGAATTGCAGGATCCACAGCGGTAGGGACAGCCGCCCTAACAGGACAGGACATCAAAATTACATAGAACTGGGTAATCAAATTGACCAAGACCTGAGTACCCTAAAAAAAAAAGCCATAGGACAGTTGGAAGAATCAGTAGGGTCCTTAGCTGAAGTAGTCTTACAGAACAGGAGGGAACTCGACCTACTTTTCCTGAAACAAGGGGGACTGTGCCTAGCATTAGGGTAGGCGTGCTGCTTCTACACTAACCACTCCGGGGTAATCAGAGAAAGTTTAAGTCAGTGAAGGAAACGGCTGATGGACAGAGAAGAGGCCCGTAGGGCAAAGGGGAACTGGTATGAGAATTTGTTCTCCTGGTCCCCGTGGCTCACGACCCTCCTATCTGCAGTGGCAGGGCCCCTCCTTCTCCTAATAGTAGGTCTCATTTTCAGATCCTGCCTGCTCAGGTGTCTCCTCAATTTTATCCAAGACCGAATCCAAGCTGTCAAGCTTATGGTCCTACACACCCAATACTCCAGAATCTTAGAGGAGGACGCTGAATCAAAGATTTGATTCAGGCATAAGACCAGTAGGGAATGTGCTAGGGGCAGGGGCCTGACAAAAAAGAATTACTAAGTAGGCTGAGGGGCAGGGACCATGGGAGAGAAAAATTGCTAATTATCTCGCTAGAAAAGCAATGTGTTATGATTGAACCCAGCCAGGTGTGACCCTGCTCGTAAATTTTATGTAAACTTTTTACCCTGCCAGTACCAGGAACGGCTAAGGACCCGCTTTGCAGTTTTTTTCTTTTTTTTTAAAAAAATACTTTGTAGTGTTGCAGATAAAAGGTCTTGCTGTCCTCTTGGTCTGCACTGCAAGCTGTGGGCTCTTATGGGAAGAACACGGCTAGCAGTCAGCTGGTCAGCTTAATAAAGGCTCTTAAAATTTAAATTCTGAGTCGGTGGTCTATCTCGCTGAGCTAACCCATAACACCTCGTCCTCTGCTCTAGATGCTGCGCTGTCTAGAATCATCTGCCAGACACTCTTGAGGCGGCACCCTTCACTCCATGCAGGTCTTTGCTCAAATGTCACCACTCAGGCCTTCCCTGTCCCCCGTCCACAAAGTCCTTCCCCGTCCCCCCGGTGTCCTTTCCTGTCATGTCCATGACGGTCTTTCATCTATCCTGCTCACTGCTGAATTCTTGTTGCCCAGAACAGTGCCTGGCACAGAGTTGGCACTCAATAAACACTTGCTGAATGGAAAATAAATATAAATGCTTACTGGACTTTACAAAATCCCAACCTGCAGAGAAATCTGAATTACCGTGGTGGTATAGGAACACACAGGCGTGGGAGGGCCTGCTTGAGGACGTCATGTGGGTACCGTGTGCATTTGTCAGGCTTTGCAGCACAGTACAAAGCACAAGAGGAAAAAACACCGACCATATAATTGCTACTTTCCAATTTAGTGCAAGAACTAGGAATGCACACTTTCCCAGACTCCCCAATCCGTTTGTCCTGCTAAATTACCATCTAACCCAGGGGTGGGCAAACTTTTTGACTCGAGGGCCACAATGGGTTCTTAAACTAGACCGGAGGGCCGGAACAAAAGCATGGATGGAGTGTTTGTGTGAACTAACATAAATTCAAAGTAAACGTCATTACATAAAAGGGCACCGTCTTTTTTTTCAATAGTTTTATTCATTTCAAACAGCCCGCGGGCCGTAGTTTGCTCACGGCTGAACCCGCCCCACCCTTGCTTAAAACTCCTCAGCGACTCACCCTGCCCTGAGGATAAGGCCCGAACTCCTCGCTGGGGTCACACACAACACCCTGATCTAACCTGTTCGACGTACCATCTTCATCTCTTGCCTCTTCACACACTGGGTGCCGCATTCCGCACAAGCGGAAATGCTGGCTCTTCTCTCAAGACACAGTTTCTTTTGCTTCTGAGTTTTGGCTCATTCTATTTCCTCACCTATAACACTCTTTCTATCCCCTCCTGCATCAGGAACTTCTGCATCACAAACCTCCCCAACGTGCTTCCTTCAGTGGGCCCTTGGCATGTCTCAGGTTCCTGCAGGAGGAGAAGGCAGCCCAGTGTGCAAGTACTTTCAACTCTTGGCCTGTGTCATGCTTGCTTGCTAACAGTCACTGATGAAAGAAAGACAGGGCTAAGCCCATACTGAACAGGGATGGAAAAACGAATTCCACGTGATGGGAGCAGTGGTAAAATCCCAATAAAGTAGGGCAAACACGTAAGGATGGGGGAATTACTGTAGTTCTTCCCCCCTCTTTGTCAGCTCCTACTCACCTTCTGCTCTCAATCTAGACCAAATGTGGGCAAACTATGGCCCGCGGGCCGCGTTTGAAATGAATAAAACTATTGAAAAAAAGGACCGTACCCTTTTATGTAATAATGTTTACTTTGAATTTATATTAGTTCACACAAACACTCCATCCATGCTTTTGTTCCGGCCCTCCCGTCCAGTTTAAGAACCCATTGTGGCCCTGGAGTCAAAAAGTTTGCCCAACCCTGATCTAGACAGACTCTCCTAATCCCTAGCGTGAGTGAGAAACCTCTCCCACAATACCTCACCTGCATCACTGTTATTGCCTGTATTACTCTCCATGCCAACGAGTGAATGAATACAGTGATATGGTACATACTGGACCTCCCATGCACAGCTGGTGGGCCGTGCTCTCCACTTTATGGCAGCATGGTATCAGCCTCCCCTAGTGACACGAAGGTCTCTTAAAAGGAGGAGGGAGTTCTGGTTTCTGTTTTGTTTTCAATGCCTAGTATAGTACCTGGTTTTTATTTCTTAAAAATACCTGTGAGATAAACACTTAACTATAATAAAAGTAAAATGGGGTAAGTTCCATTTTAAAAAAGATACAAAGAATATTCTTTTTTTTTTTAATATTTTTTATTGATTTCAGAGAGGGCGAGAGAGAGAGGGAGAGAGATAGAAACATCCATGATGAGAGAGAATCATGGATCGGCTGCCTCCTGCACGCCCCACATCGGTGATCGAGCCCGCAACCCAGGCATGTGCCCTGACCGGGAATCGAACCCTGACCTCCTGGTTCCTAGGTCGACGCTCAAGCACTGAGCCACGCCGGCCGGGCACAAAGAATATTCTTAAGATTCCTGCAAGACCCAGCAGGCTGCAAATAGTTAGCAAGATCTGAGATAGTATAAAATTAACTAAAATAACAATGAAACACCAGAGGGAAGAAAAAAAGAGAAAACCAGCCAGAGAAAGCAGCACTTCCTTTTTATTAGACTCACAATGCCATTCTGAAGCCCAACCTCTATCTGTAAAATGTGTCGTTCTTATTAACGTCCCACTGGAAAGCAGACAGACTTCGTCTTCATTGTATCTCTGTGGTGCACCATCAACCAGTCCAGCATCTCACAGAAGAGCTCTGTGGAGGCTGGCGATGATCAACCGGCCTCCCTCCTTCACACACACACACACACACACACACACACACACACACACACTTAAATATGTACACACATACTCTTTTTTTTTTTTTTTTTACAAAAATAATATAACAGGTTTACACAGATCTATTAATTCTTTAAAGTTTCACAGCAAGGTCTATGCTTCATTATAAGCATTTTTTACTTTGGATTAAAGTGGGAACTTTAGGCCTAAAAATAGATTTAAGATTATTGAACACAGGCCCTATAGCAACACAGACATAATAAATCTTGATCATCAGACAACTAGAAGTATTCTGTGGTTGTCCTTATGCTAGTCCTACTCCATATCCCCATCAATTATTTTCATTTTAACTAAAATACAGAAGTAAAATAGTTCACTGAAATAATAATCTATTCATTACATTAGCACATATACCAAATTATACTAACTGCATGATAATCTCTATGTACCAAGACTGTATTTTTGTTATACTTCATTAAATATGGTATCCAACCAGCAACCACACAAAAGGAATGCAGACTGAACAAGAAGGGAAGGAGAGAACAATAATTTGCAGGCTATCTTTTTACATGGCACCCAAAACAAAACAAGTAAGAGAAGCCTTACAAGATACTAGTAGGTATCAAACTAATTTGCAGTGACATTTAATATAGTTTCATCAGAAGGAATACATTTAGGTCATATATGGAAAAACACATATCTATGTGAAATTCTAGGATTTCTCCTAGAATATTCAAAATGCTCATCGAAAGTTAATTAGTATAATAAAAATGGTGACCAGGTGACTGAATAAACAGAATGCCATTTAATATATTAAAAACAAAGATTCTGGGAATAGATTCTACCTCCAAAACACCCAGAAATCTGAGTTAACAGATCCTCTACTTTGCATACTTGATACTAATAAAAATAAGAAGTGTTTGCACAGACTATAAATGCAAGGCAACAGCCTAAGGGACAGTCACAGAAAGAATAAATGAACACAATCTTGAACACAACAGAGTGAGTACAGAGAGCTCCTGCATTTTTGGTCCCCAACCCCACCCGAAGGGCCATCTCTTTGGGGAAGAAATCTTTCAATAGTTCAAGCCCATTACCTCAGACCCCACAAGCTACTACCCTGCCCAAGCTTGGCACCAGAAAGTCTTTCAGATGCCAGTACGACGCTTGATCATTCAACTGGACAGGCCCTCTTCAGGCCTCCCAGGTTCTGACCAACACAACCTCCTTCCCACAGAAGGGGTCAGCACTGCCTTTGAAGTCACAATGGGGTGGCTCAGGAAGAACTAGAAGAAGGAGGTGTCTGATGAAAAAGCACCTGCCAGCCGGAAATCTTCCTTGGTGAGAACACTGTACATGCGCTGAGGCAGAGCTCGGGAGTAGGGGGCGGGGCGGGGCACCGTGGTGCGCAGAATGAGTTCTCGGCCAGCAGGGGGCGGGAAGTCTGACACGGAGTTCTGCCTTCTCTCCTCTGCAGAGCCCATTCTCTTCAGTTCCTCCTCCGGTGGAGCCATGGCTGCAGCCTTGAATAGAATCAAATGCTAAATTCAAGATCAAGTCGGTGCTAAACTTACATCACTATGAAGGACAGATGAATAAACATGATAAATACAGAAAAATGTTCTACATTATTCAGTAATGTTGTCAACTATGTTATGACTACTCAAGAACACAACACAGAAAATACAAGAAGTTTGAAACACTACATGAGCTGCCAGAGGTTACAAATAAATTGGTGAGAGAGACAGAAGGGATAATGACTGCCGGGCAATCTGCTTTGAAAAGTGGGGGCCATATTCAAACACCTGATGAAGAGGGAAAATGTGCTGGTTTCTGTGTTTCTTCTAGCAAAGACCCAAGAGAGTCTGATGTCCTCAGTCCAGTAATGGAGTTGGTTCTCACAGAGGCTAGGAAGGTGTTTTTTATGCTGGGTTCCAATTCTTTTTAAGGTTCACTGGTCGAATTAAAACTGGGGACAGTGGTATTGTTTGCTGGGCAGCTAATGTGAGGTAGCAGTGAGGTCTATGTAATGTAGCAATGGCAACAAAAGAGAAGTTCTCAATATCAAAGGCATCTATTTTCTCATTAAAATTGCATAAAATACATATTCAATTTAACTCTGATCACTATAGTTGTTTCATTTCTCTGATCACTGTATTTCTTTCAGAATACCCCTGATTTGGAAAAAAAAAAAATTTTGGCAATGGAAATATGAAACTATGTTATACAAGAATCAGCCAGAAAGGTATGTCAAATCCAAACTGTTAAAGAGGTCGTTAGTCTTAATGATCTTACGAAGTTAGAGGGAGGGGAAGGAACAAGAAACTATGAGGGACAAGGCTGTTTGTTACCTCATCAGAAGATTCAGTCAGCTTGAGAAAGGGTGAGAAAAGAAACAGTGATGAAAGGGAAACAAAAACAAGCAAGATGGTTTTAAAAAGAGACAAGGAATTTCAAGATTATTTCAGACAGCATGCACTATATTAAGGAACATGATTCTATCAAAAGAATTATCAAGACAAACATACAACACACCTAGTTATCAAACTGAGCAGACATACCCACTACTCATGCATCTGATGGCTCAACAGGTGACGTACAGAATGTCATTTAATGGGAAAATGATTTAACAAAAATCTACCACTTTTTAAAAAATAAGTTTTTATTGATTTTTTTTGAGAGAGAGAGGAAGGGAGAGGGATAGAGAGATGGAAACATCAATGAGCGAAATATCATTTATCGGCTGCCTCCTGCACACCCCCTACTGGGTGAGGATAAGCCCATAACCTGGACCTGTGCCCTGAACAGGAATCGAACCAGTGACCTCTTTGTTCATGGGTCGATGCTCAACCACTGAGCCATACCGGCCAGGCAAAGAATCTATGAGTTTTACTAAAAAAATTAAGATGCTAAAAAAAAGTGTTCATGTCTTGAAAAATAGATAATCCAATAGATTTAAGAAAAGGTCTCAAAGTTATTCAATTTAGCAAGAATGAAGCAAAATCAAATCAGTGGTTTATTTGCTGAATTCCATTTACGTATATACCACTGAAACATATAATCATGAAGTTAATTAAAATGTATGATTTTTTTTCCCTCTAGCCGGTTTGGCTCAGTGGATAGAGTGTTGGCCTGTGGACTAAAGGGTCCTGAGTTTGATTCCGATCAAGGGCATGTACCTCGGTTGCAGGCTCCTCCCCAGCTCAGGCCCTGATCAGGGCATGTGCAGGAGGCAACCAATCAAAGTGCCTCTCTCACACTGATGTTTCTCTCTGTCTTTCCCTCTCTCTTCCACTTTGCCTTAAAAAAAAAAAAAAAAAAAAAAAAAAAGAAGAATCAATGGAAAAATATCCTCAGGTGAGGATTAACAAAAACAACAACAACAAAAATGTATGATTTTTTGTGGTTAATTCTCACCAATGGATATTTTTTCCATTGATTTTTAGAGAGAGTGGAAGTGGGGGGTGGGGAGGGAAGAGAGAGAAAAGCATTGATGTGAGGGAGACACACTGATTGGTTGCCTCCCTCACCTGCCTGGACAGGGGCCAGGGAGTGAACCTGAAACCCAGGTACATGCCCTTGATCAGGAATCGAATCCACGAGCCCCTGGTCCTTTGGCAAACACTCTAACTTCTGGGCTAGACTGGCCAGGGCTAAAATGTATGAATATATAAAATTACTGTGTGCCTATATTAGTAAACTGATATACAATATGAGTTATGAAAAAAAAGTTACATGAATACACTTGAATGGTTTTCATTAGCCAGGCATTTAAGGACTGAATTTAGAAATGTACCAACCAAGTGCTTGTTTTATGGATTAGTCTGCCAATTCCCTGAAACATTCACCACAAGGTATGGAAGTTTGAAATCTTTTACAATTACATAATGTGGGATGAATGAACAATTTCAGATTGGCTATATGATGAGGCCCTGAAAAGATGATACACTCATATTTATTGATGTAAAAAGATAATTATATTGTGTAGACAACAAGAATAATAAATTATATAATACTAGAGGCCCAGTGCATGAATTCGTGCACAGGTGGGGTCTGGTCGGCTGGGAAGAGGGGATGCGGGAGGTTGGCTGGCTGGCCCCGCCCCCTGGTTGAACTCCTAGTCGAAGGGAAAATTTGCATATTAGCCTTTATTACATAGGACTAGAGGCCCGGAGCACGAATTCATGTCTGGGTGGGGTTCCTCAGCCTGGCTGACGATCGAGGCCTATGGGGGGGCCGGCCAGCCGGAGGGGCTACAGGAGGTTGGCCGGCTGGCTGGGGCCATGAAAGGTTTGCCGGCTGGGTGGAGGGGCCACGGGAGGTTGGCTGTGGGAGCACACTGACCACCAGGGGCAGCTTCTGCGTTGAGCGTCTGCCTCCTCATGGTCAGTGCAGGTCACAGCGACTGGCCGACTAGCTGTTCTGTCCTAACGGTCATTTAGGCTTTTATATAGATAGATAATCCTATTTTTGTAAAATATACATATATTTGCATACACTACTTGTTAAATGTTGGCAGTGATCATCAGTGGGAGTGAGATTAATGTGATTAATTTTTAATGTGATTAATGATTCCTTTAGAATTTTCCGTGTTGCCCAAATTTTTACAATGAGCCTTTACTTATAGTCTGGGAGGTGGGGGGTTTGGAGGCTATTTCCATTTTGGGGAGAATAATTTTGCATAACTATTCAAACAAGTAACACTCTCAGCATTAAATATATGAACACTTTAGGTTTTAAATCCTCTTAACACACAAATTTTAGAAACTGACGAGAGTTTTTGCAATATGAGGAAAGTTCATATTGGTGATAACAAGAAATGAGCTCATGAGCATCTGGTGAGTAAGCAGGCGAAGAAGACATAGGGTGTGAAAACAAACTCAGTTCTTGGTTTCATGCCAGAGACAAAAACAGAATAAATCAAAGTAATTATCTATTGCTTTCTAGAACTCTCATTTATAAGGAACTGAAATACTTAGTTTTTAACTGGAAATTCTTAAATTTAAAGAGCTACCTTCATAAATAATCTCAGGTTTTAATTCTTCCTAAAAATTTAGATCAATATACTTGGCCCTGATTTTGATATATTAAATAGAATACTCCAGATAAACTCAAAGGAGATTATGAAGTTTTTACTCCTGTGTAAACCCATTAAAAGTCTTTTTCTTATTTGATTCTGAGAATCACACCTTCAAATCTGGGTCATTCCAGTGTCCTCACTGTCAGGTAAGGGCACCGGGACTTAGTACACTGGGTAATATTCTAACAGAACCTTTAGGGTTAACGAGCCCGGACATGAGGTCACCGTTGGGATGCCAGCACCTCTACCCATGAACAGAGCGGTACAGAGAGCATCAGTACAAAGGCTAACTAGAAGCATCTCTATGAAAATCGCAATCTCAGTGCTTTAGGATGTCAGAAGGTATGATCTGATTCTAAACCTGTACTTTCATAGCAGAAGTCATGATAAAGACGCCGTTTCAAATCAGGCTTATTCCTGTGAAGCCCGTTTCCATCCCCAAACTCTGAAACCCTGCGCCTCCTTCCTAGGAACCCTCTTCAGCTAGATCTCTTCACCGTTATAAAAACAGTTAGACTTACTAACTTCATAGTTAACCTGTGAAACCATTTGCTGTACATGGAGTCTGACCAGTAAAATCGTGCCCCATTCTAATTTAAAAGTAGGCGACATTTTTTCCTACAGCATAGGACTGGCCATTGGCCACTGAGTCCCTATCAGATTCTGTAACAACGGATTTCAGACCCTTCTGAAATTTAGGTCCTAAAATATAGTTATCATTTTCCTTAAACATATAAGAAAGCAACATCTGAATGCAATACCCAGGCTCACACTGGGCCGGCAGCTGTGGAAGCAGCCATGTGTCTGAATCAAAACAGCGCCCCACTGAGCAGGGGGCTGGCGAAGCCATGGCATGTCAGTGAGGAGCCTCACGTACCCGCTGTGCGTTCACGAACAGCTTGTGAATGATTCTGCCGGCGTGTCCTCTGCCCGCGCCCACCACCAGCACTTCGGGCTGCTCTAACAGGCAGCTCACAAACCTGGGGAGAAAGAATAGAAGGCGAGCTGCTCACTTCCCATCCACCCTCCAGATTAATTTTGTGGGCAAACCCTCACACTGATAAAGCTCAACTACCATGGCTGGAGTGGAACTTTATAACAGGATACATTGATATTTGAATTAAAATGGACTCAAATGACAATTCTTACTACCTTTGAAGTGTTTTCATAAAATTTGTGAAAAGCCCATCTCTGTCAAAGTGTAAGAAGAAATATTCAGTAAAAGTTGATAACAAAAACCAAGTTTCATTTATACAACAAAGATTCATGTTTGTTTTTATTCTTTTGAAAATATTAATATTTTTAATCCTCACTCAAGGATATGTTTGTTTGTTTTTTAATTGATTTGAGAGAGTGAGAGGAAGGGGAAGAGGGAAAGAAACATGGAGCAGTTGCCTCCTGTCCATGCCCCAACAGAGGACTGAACCCACAACCTAGGTATGTGCCCTGACAAGTAATCGAACCACAACCTTTTGGTGCACAGGGTGATGCTCCAATTAACCAAGCCACCCGGCCAGGGCTGCTTTTGCTCTTGTGAGGTGTGTAGGTGCATATGTGCATGCATGCACAAAATGCATGTTTTGCTGGGCAGTGTCATGACTATAAACAGTGACATTTTGTGCTGGAAATACTGTACTGTACTGCCAAGTCCATCTCAGATCTGTAGAGTAGAGCTAAGAGTGTCGAAGGCAGAACCACCAGGCATGCACTGCCTGCTCACTGACTGATACTGCTATTTTAGAAACAACTCACTTGATTAGAGCTCATTCTTCTCATTTAAAAGGAAGGCATTTTCCATTATGCTAAATTAATATTTGACAAAGGAGGCAAGAGCATACAATGGAGTCAGGACAGTCTATTCAATAAATGATGTTGGGAAATTGGACAGATACATGCAAAAAAAATGAAACTAGATCACCAACTTACACAAGAATAAACTCAAAATGGATAAAAGACTTAAATGTAAGTCAGAAAAACATAAAAATCCTAGAAGAAACCCTAGGCAGCAAAATCTCAGACATCTCTCATAGTAATATGTTTATGGCTATATCTCCTGAGCAAAGGAAACTAAGGAGGAAATAAACAAATGAGACTACATCTAATAAAAAGCTTCTACACAGCAAAAGAAACCATCAATAAAACGAAAAGGGAGCCTATTGTATCGGAGAACATATTTGGCAAAGATACATCTGACAAAGGGTTAATATCCAAAATATATAAGGAATTCATATGACTTAACAAAATGAAGACAAACAATCCAATCAAAAAATGGGCAAAGGACCTAAATAGACACCTCTTCAAAGTAGACATACAGATGGCCAAGAGGCATATGAAAAATGCTCAAACTCACTGATCATCAGAGAGATGCAAATTAAAATAACAATGAGGTATCACCTCACATCTGTCAGAATGGCTACTATCAACAAATTAACAAATGACAAGCTGGTGAGGATGTGGAGAAAAGGAAATCCTACTACACTGCTGGTGGGATTGCAGACTGGTGCAGTCATTATGGAAAACAGTATGGAGTTTCCTCAAAAAATTAAATATGGAACTGCCATTTGACCTAGTGATCCCACTTCTAGGAATATATCCTAAGAGACCCAAAACACCAATCAGAAAAAACATGCACCATGTTCATAGCAGTGCAATTATACAATAGCTAAGACTGAAAACAGTACAAGTGCCCATGAGTAGATGAGTGGATAAAAAAAACTGTGGTACATTTACACCATGGAATACTATGCAGCAGTAAAAAAGAAAAAAAGAAGAAGAAAAAGAAAAGGATCTTTTACCCTTTAAGACAGCACGGAGGGACCTGGAGAGTATTATGCTAAGTGAAATAAGCAGTCAGAGGAAGACAAGTATCACATAATCTCACTCATATGTGGAATCTAATTAACAAAATAAACTGATGAACAGAGTGGATCCAGAAAAGGAAAAAAAGACATTTTCAAGAACAAAGAAAGCTGGGAGAAAATTTCACTCACCAAAAGATATAAAATTCAAACAAAACCTTGTTAGAAGCTATAGCAAATGCCTTGTCATAGACTATTAATTTTCTAGCATCAATAATGCCATTCCTTGTGAAAAGGCTACTGACGATGTTAACATTATAACAAATTCAAGCTACTGAAGTAGGTAGTTTGGAAACACTTTATCACACATTATAGCAACATGTCCTTTCAATGGGCGCACACAGACAGGGGCTCACACTGAAGGCTCCCTTGATAATGATGCTGCCAGGAGAAGAAGGCCGGTCCAGCCATTTGCCTCATCCTGGAGAGGCTACCGGTCACTCTCCAAACATATCTGCAAGGTGCACAGTAAATGCACCTTTGCTCTCACAGGTATTTTTAAAAAATTAAATGAATATTGAGCAGAATTACAGTTGCAGAACCCCTCAGGCTGTGGTTAAGGAACAGTGAGAGCTGAAAGCAAAGCTCTGGGCACTGCTAGTGACAGCGTCAATAATGGCTTCTCCTCAGGTACAGGCACCACGCCTCCGGGAGCAAACAAGGACTTTGCTGGGAAGAGAGACCTGGTAGACTTGCTTCTGCAAGTGGGAGCAATGGAAACACCTAGAAAGTACTCAGAAATACGGTAGAGGTCAAATCCTATGATAATTATTCCTCTGAATCTGGCTAATGCTGGCAAATAATAGGAGAGTATCACAAAGAATCTCAGTATTTCATTAAAATTTTCTAAAGCAGTGGTGGATTTTCCTACTGCAGACAAAAATGAGCGCGTCAAATAGCAATTACCTTTCGAGATCTTCCTTTTCCTCCTCTTGTTCACATTTCTCAGTTCCAAACTTGGCTTTCAGTGAGCGGGCTCTAGCAATTAGGGCTTCCACATTAGTAATTTGATGGATGATTTCCTAACAATAGAAAAGAGAAAGTCATAACATTGGAAAACAGCAAAGAAAGGCAAAGCCTTTTAAAATGTTTCTTGAAAGTAATTACTGCCCACTGGGAAGAGAGAGTACTTGGTGAGATGCTGACAGTCACCCAACTTACTTCTAGTTTCTTGTCTTCCGGATTGGGAAAGTGCAGGACTTTGCTGGAATGGGATATTATCTGCTTGATAATCTTCTTAACGGAAGAAATGTTTTCCAGACTTTCTATTAGAAAGATCAAAATCATCATTAAATAAGTTAGACAAAATACACTTTCATTTTAGAAATGAACTAATTACTATTCAAGTAAGACATTTACCTTCTTCCTTTACCTTGAGTACAGCTGCATGAATTACACAAGGTAGCAGGTGCCGAGCGAGGTCTGCAGGTTTCTGCATTGCCAGATAGTGCAGCACCTGGAGGAGGCACAGACTCAGATAAATGATCAATGCAGCTGCCTACGAATAAAGCAGCCATTTACGAAACAAAAAATCCTCTGGACCAGTGATTTTCAACTTTTTTCATCTCATGGCACACATAAACTCATTACTGGAATTCTGCAGCACACCAAAAATATATTTTTTGACAATCTGACAAAAAAAAAATAGGTATAATTTTGATTCATTCACACCAGACGGCTATTGTGTTGGCTGCTGCCATTTTTTTATTTGACAATCTAAGAGAAAAGAGATCAGTGTCCTTGACTAAATGGTGAGGTGTTGCACGCTTTAAAAATTATTGTGGCACACCGGCTGCTTTGGACCACTGAACTCACATCTATAACAAAAGTAGAGAAGAGCTCTCTTCTCTTAGTATCTACCCCTACATTCCAGGTAAATAACTACTACTTCCAAAGATAAGAATAATGTTACTGAAGACAACTGCATACTTCTGTCTTCAATAGGGTTAATATTCTCATATCTCCCATCCCCACTTCTATATGTAATGCATACAAATTAATAAAAACTACCTGTAAATCATACCATCTAGGGATAGAATTTTTAATGGTGGAACATTTTCATTCCAGAATTTTTCAAAATATCAAGTACACATAACATTAAATGAACTAATATTAAGTGTCTAAAATACTGTTTGTGACCTGTTTTTCTCACTTATTATTTCTAAACATTTCTAGTGACCCTCCATTGATTTTTTTGGGTTGATTGTTTTATTGTCTTTTTCTAAAATGGAAATTGTTTTACTTTTCTGATTTAAAAAATACAGCATTTTTATCATGCAGATTGACTCTTCTTTCTATGGGGGTAGAGGGCCCGGGTGACATTACCTCACTGGTGCCTGGCCAGAATTCCATACTGGTTGATTAAGATTATGTCTTTGGGAGAGGTTAAAACTGCAACAGATAAGGTATTAACCAGGTTTGATGTCACTGGCTTTTATGTAGCACAAGTGATGCCATTTTCTTCCTTTTTTAAAATTTTCTTGGATTGCAGTTTTAAACATTAGTTCCGTTTTAGTGCTTTGATTTTGAATCCTCACCGGAGGATATGTTTTTATTTTTATTTTTGGAGAGAGGGAGAGGGAGAGAGAGAGAGAGAGAGAGAGAGAGAAAGGGAAGGAGAGAGAGAGAAAGGGAGGGAGAGAGAAGAAAAGGAGGAGAGGGAAGGAGAGAAGGAGGGAGAGGAGAGGCAGAGGTAGAGACACTGATTGGTATGTGCTGGACCAGAAATCAAATCCACAACCTTTTGGTGTGCAGGATGATGTTCCAACCAACTGAGCCGCCTAACCAGGGCTAGTGTTTTGATTTTTCTTCAAGGACTCTGATAAAATGAGTATTATTCCTACTTTTCCTATTTTCCATTTCTACTACTTTCTCTCTAACCCACTTTAGTCCTTTTGCCACTTTTACTTGATGCCTGTTATTATATTTCAATATGAATCTACTCTCTCTTGGGCCCTTTGTCATTTAGTCTTTATTTTTGATATGGTGTCTTTTTCTTCTATTTCTATATTGTTAAACCAGCTGTGGTTTCACTACTTTGCAGAGTTTTTGGGTCCATTTTTGCTCTTGGTTTTAGTATTTCTGATTAAAAGTAATTTTCATATCCCCTATGCTTGTTTAAAGATATCTGATTCAGTATGTATGGTGTGTTAACAATTTTCTGCTTCATGGTCAGTTTTCTGGGAAATGTTTTCATTAGCTAACTGACCCACCTGCATTTTGTTTTTTCATAGTTTTGTATGGATGTGGTCTGCTCTTTAGTATACCTAGTCATACCACAATTTGAAAGTGCCCCTTTTCTGCAGTTTCTTTAAAGGACAGCAGAGGATGAGGGAGGTTGATGTTATTTTTATTTTTTATTTTTTTTTATTTTTATTGCTTAAAGTATTACAAAGAGTATTACATATGTCTCCTCCCCCCACCCCCCCGCCCTTGACAATCCCCTGGCCTCCCCTACCCCCCAGTGTCTTATGTTCATTGGTTATGCTTATATGCATGCATACAGTCCTTTGGTTGATCTCTTATCCCCCCCCCCCCCCCCCGCCTGCCCTCCCACCCTCCCCGGCCTTCCTGCTGTAGTTTGACAATCTGTTCGAGGCAGCTCTGCCTCTGTATCTATTTTTGTTCATAAGTTTATAATGGTCTTTATTATCCAGAAATGAGTGAGATCATGTGGTATTTTTCCTTCATTGATGATTTTTTTCTTTTATTATTTTATTGATTTGGGAGAGGAAGGACGAGGGAGAGAGGGATAGAAACATCAATGATGAAAGAGAATCACGCCCCTTACAGGGCATTGAGCCCGCAACCCAGGCAAGTGCCCTAACCGGGAATCAAACCGTGACCTCTTAGTTCACAGATCGACACTCTACCAAGCCACACTGGCCAGGCGGTTGATAAGCCTTGTTTGTCTTTCACTTCTGCATGATCCTTAATTTCCTTCTCATTTCCTTCTTTCCCATCATTTCTTTATCTAAGGGGTATCAACCCTTCTCTATATATCTGGTTTCCCAAGACAGTGTCTCTTAGTGTTCACTTCTCGTCCAGCTTACTTTAAGCCTCTCCCTGTAGCCATGCTGTGAACTATCAAGCTCTACCTGTACCAAGTACTTTGGTGCCCAGTGTTAAGCTCTCTCTTTCTGGGGTGACTCTGTGCTCCATCTGTATCCCTCAGCTCTTCTTAAAAGTCCCTGTCCACACTCTCCTGCAGCAATGGGAACTCCATTGGTATTTGGCTTGTTTCTCTACTTATAGTTCTAATTTGAAGGTCACTGTAATCTCTGTCTCCTAGTAATGCTTAAGGCATGGATTTATTTATTACTTATTAAGTGCATGGGATTATTTGGGAGGCCGGTGGATGGTGGGTTGGAGGGTATGTGGGGCAATTTGATATCAGGCAGCTACCACTATTCATTAGAATTCCAAATATTTTTTAGTAATTGAAGAGCAGTTCACTAAATGATCATACCATAATTTATTGAACCAAGCTTATTTTTGGTAACTTTGGTTATATGCACTTTTCACTAAAAAACTTTGCTGAACATCATTCTTGTACATTGACCTTTACATATTTCTCATTATTTCCTTAATAAATTTCTTGGTAGTAGAATTGCTAGGTCAAAGGACATGACCATTTTTTAAGGTTTTTGATATATGCTGTGAGATGAGACAGTCCAATGGTAAGCATGCTACATAAAATATGGATATCTTATTTTTGGGCCTAACTGCAACTAAATTCTAAAATCTTAAGTGTAAATAGTAGATACATAAAAGGCTCATTAAATCTCAATGCTTTGCTTCTCATGTCTATGATAGTGAGTTTTTAAAATGCTAGAACAATAACTACCACTTTAGTGTTAGATACCCAAACCTCAGTTACCTTTTCTGCTTCCCGAGTATCATCAAAGAGTCTCCTTTGCCTTCTGGCAGGAACTGGCTTAGCTGTTTCCCAGGCTTCCACCCACATGTTGCTTGGAATCTTCATTCGGGCACTCAGTTCTCCTTTCAGAACCGTGTTTCCCTTTTCATCAATCACTTCCTCTTCAATGTAATCCCGGGGTGAGTACCACCTCACAAAGTCTTCCAGACAGCAACCTGGATTAGCTGCCTAAATCAAGGCCAAAAATTCAGCAGAACCAAATATAAGTCAACAGTTACTGATAAACCTGTTTGCAAGATCATACTTGCTCTTTCACAAAAAGCCTACCTAATATTTATAAAATCTAGTATGTGACATGAGTTTGGGTGTCACCTCGAAAACAGATCAAATGTTAAAATACTAAAAGCATTTTACTTTTGCTGTCTCTATTTTATAGAAAAAGAAAATACTTCCATTTGATGAATTTGGAAATAAAAATTTTATGTAAAGTGAAAATAATTCTCTTAAACAGATAAGTTACATAGTTGTAAATTTTGGCATAACTACTCAAAACTTAGAAAAGTATCAAATAAGTGCAGGTTATGTAAATTAAATAATACACAACATGAAAGAATAACAACCTAATAATGGGAAAATTCTGCTCTTTTTTCCCCTCAATAAATCAATACTGCAGTAAATATCAGCTAACCTCAAAAATGTTCTATTCAGCCATCAAATTCTTGTGCTTTATGTACAACATTACTCTCACAAAAACTGCTTTTGTGCTGGTACGGAATTGAAATTCAAACTATTATTGTTCAGGTTTCTCAAATCTAACTAATTAAATTTTTACTCAGTGGATAATTCTATAGAATTTACAAGGTTGTATTTCAAAATCCCTTAAGTAATTCCACATTCAAGGCTGGGATAAAAGTAGAGGCTTCCCAGTGTTAGTAGTAAGGCACAGACTTCTCTTTTGCAAGTGTACAGTAATATATTAGCAGAGTACTAAGGATAGGTATATGTATTATCCCCTAATACTCAAAGGATACGTGTACACACATTAAACACGTACCTTTTGGTTATATTGTCTACCACAACATAATCTTCCTGTATGAGTACTATATTTAATTGCCTGAAATAGTAAGTCATGTAAACATCAACAAAGTGCTAAGCGGAAGGTCATTTTCTTTCTTTTTGAATTAAATTAACCTCAGACCAAAATGCAAACAGACTTGAAGAGAATGACTAGTCTTAAATGTGAAGAGCAAAACTGTTAATTCTTGCTTCTTGAGCTCACTGGCTACCACCTTAACCATCCCTACCACTTTAGGAAATCCCTCTGAGGGGATAAGGAATCAGAGGAAGGTCCTTAACCCAGTCAACAACATAAACTTCTGAGGCAGGGGTGGGGAACCTTTTTTCTGCCAAGGGCCATTTGGATATTTATAACATCATTTGAGGGCCACATAAAATTATCAACTTAAAAATTAGCCTGCTATATTTGGTCAAACATTTAATTAACTCACCCTTAATGCCTTGGCAGGGCCAGACCAAATGATTTCTCAGGTCTTACACGGCCTGCAGATTGGGCGTTCCCCACCCCTGTTAAGGGCTATGGCATCATGGCAACAACTACTGCTGTGAACTGCAAAAGGTCAAGATTACTGCATGACTCAGGATTCATGCACAAAGATCTGGATATTAACCAGGCTATACCACACCCACTCAGAACATCTTAGGAACCCAGAAATAGGCCTTGAGTGAAGAGTGAAAACTTAAAAAAGAAAATAATATTGAACTCCTGTACCACAGAATGTGTTTAAAAAAAAAAAAAGACAGTTTACACCACATTCTTCTCTCTGGTTGTTCTTCCAATACCAGGCTAAACAAACTGCTACCAGGAGAAGGTCAAGGCGCACTTCAGCTCTGGTTTGTCTTTGTTCTGCTGTTCTAGGTATGCATCCAAGGGCATGCTCACAAACAGGCCCTGTGCTTCTGGGGTTGTAAGGTGTAGGTACCTCAGGTCCCTCTCAGCATTCATCCAAAGCTCTGGGGACGCTCCCAAGGGCCCCTAAAGCAAGTCACCCCTATGCAAAAAGGGAGAGGCAACCATATCTATTTTAGAGTGACTACATATTTCCTTAAATATGTGACCTGATTCCTGCGTAGGGACAGATGTGTAAAAAAGGCTATTTGAAATAGTCTATTTTCTGATTAAAACAATGTTATGAGAGGTTTGTAGGTGCCCAGTTAATCCAAAAGAGTCTAATGAACTCTAGTTTTGCTGAAGCAGTGTTGAAGGCATTTTATAGAACCTTACCATCAGGAGCTGATATGTTTTTATGGGGAAAAGCTTTTACAGTTCCAATTTGGATTTCATTCTGTACTTGCCTCTGGAAGGATACTGTGATAGGACAAGGACAGATGAATATGAAGGCAGGCAGAGGTCAGGTAATGGGCCAGAGTGGCTCAGTGGTTGAGTGTCGCCCCATACACCAAAGTGTTGTAGGTTCAATTCCCGGTTGGGGCACATACCTAGGTTACAGATTCCACCCCTGGCCGGCGTGCTTACAGGAGGCGATTGATTGATGTTTCTGTCTCACATCAATGTTTCTCTCTCTCTCTAAAAATAATCAATAGGACATAAACTCGGGTGAGGATTAAAAGAAACAACAACAACAAAAGAGCCACTGGGCAGGCTAGTACTGCCTACTATGCACACACTCCCTAAGCCAATTCTCTTATTTACTTTTTTGATTTAACACATGCCCCGAGAGCCAAATGATTTTTCACTCTCTCAGGAATTGAACCTGCAACCTTTTGGGGTTATGGGACAACGCTACAACCAACTGAGCCACACCGGCCAGGATCCAACTGACTTCTATTTATTCATTGTGCCAACTGTTTGTTTTAAAACAACACATCTCTCTTTCTTATTTCACAGCACAAAATAACTCACACATTTTATGAATCGTTTGTCTCTAAGGAAAACATGCAGCTCTTGAGGTTTACTAAAGATTGTTTCTTTTAGTAAATATGGGGGGAATAAGCAGGGAATAAGAAGCTTCCTTTTACTGTCACAAACCTGCTAGCTGGGAAGATGAAAGTGGCATGTGTTTTCATGGGTGTTTATGTTGGAGAAACTCACACTCAGGCTGGCCTGTAGCACAGAGCAGAACTGAGGAGGGGTGTGGAATGGGGACGTGGGGTCCATCATGGTGCAATGGAGTAAGGAGGAAAGTCTGTGCCTGGGAGACAGTTCTGGGCATCAGCAGTAGAAAGGAAGCCCTGTGGCCCAATGGGCTACCTACTTGGTTTTCAAAAATATATACATATACTTGTCTCTTCTTTTAAAAATAAGTAATAATAATAATAAAGACTTTCCTTCATTCTGGGTTTTTTTTAGCTAGCAAGCTAAATGTCATCATTCTCTGAATTCTCTATGGTCTAGATACAGGCCTAAAATGAGTAGGGAGCAAATGCCTACTCATCCTAAATGGGGACTCATCTGAGAAACCTGCCCGGACCCACTCAGTAGAGTTAGTCCCCTCTTAGACCTGCCTTCATAAAAGAACTCATCACACACTTATTTACACAACCTCAACAGACTGTAACTGAGAATAAACACTGTATTTCTTACTTATCTAATCACAGTGCAAGTCACAAAGTAGAATATCAAAGGCCTGTTGAACGAAGGAACCTATGTTAAATCCTAAGGGTTTCCTAAAAACCTTGCATGATATTGGCTGAACACACACAAAGGAGGAAGACATCCCAATGCAGATAAAAAATTACTCAAGTCTCAACTTTCAACTATTATTCAAAGATTGTTCTTTGTTTTTTTTAAACTCAAGAAGCAACTCTGAATACAACCTTTAGGAGATAGAAGCGGGATGTTATAACTACTAATGAAATAAAAAGCTTTTAATAAAAAGGACATTCAGGTCTTCATACCACTTTATTGAGTGACTTTCACAGCTTTATCCCAGAATAACTCAAAATAGAATCCTGAGCCCTGACAGTGTGACCCACCTTAAAAGACTCCATATCTGACAGCAGACAGGCACTCTGCATGCGTGCCCGGAGGTGAGCCCCTTCCGCGGAGGTGCCCAATTTAGCCAGAACCTCCGACTGCTCCTCTAGCAGGTCTTCTGTCATAGGTGCTGGCTCCTGTGAAGCACAAAAGGACAAAGCTCAGCAACAGCCTTTGTGTAGACAAAGCAGGGCTACGAAAATAGAACAAAGACAACACTTATTTCAGCTCTAGTAATCCCAAGGTATGTATGGAAAAAATTTCAGAGAAATTCACAAGTTTTCTGGAACCTACATATAAACGTACCAAATTAACAAGAATAAATATGACTTTCAGGGTCTCTCCAACCCCAACAAATAAGATTATCATGTTCCCCTTGGTGAGGACTGATGGCTAAAAGAGAAATTTGGGTGCACTGAACATTTTTCTGCCTGTTAATGATACAGAAATAACATCCCAATGAGATTTTTTATGTAGGATATCACTAGTTGCTATAAGGTTTTTATTGTAACTAATAAGAGAAGAAAATTGATATATATATGAAAATTAAAGGCAAATGAATTGAACCCCAACTAAAAGCCCCCAAATAAATTAAGTTTTATGTTGTAGGAGTTGCTTTGAGTTTAGGTTCAAAAGATATTCTAATTACTAATTCCCATAAGAAGTTGTGGATTTTTTGTTTTGGGAATCAGAGACATTATATATTTTAGTGGTAAGCCCCACTGCCTCAAAAAAAGCTAAGGCAAATCTAAAGGAGGGTACACTGTAGAATCATTAAAAGAGAGACAGAAAACATCGCGAAACTTTCAAAGGGCTTTAGGAAAGTTCTTTGAGAACTGATTTCATTAGATTTTATTGCAATATTAAGAACTTAACAATCCAGAGATTAACCAAACAAAGCTCTCCTGTTTTGCAGTTAAAGTCAGAAAAAAAACTGAACTTTTCTATTCTTAGATAACAGAGTAAGATGTAGAAGTGTTTAGAGTATTTGTCAATGGATTTCTTCTAGATTTCAGGAGCTGACTATAAACCAGGGTTTCTCAGCCTTAGTACTACTGGCGTTTTAGGCTGGGTAACTCTCTGTCATGGGCCTGTCCTATGCATTGCAGGGTGTTCAGCAGCATCTCTGGTCTCGACCTACTAGATACAAGTGGTACCACTCCACCTCTTGACAATAACAAAAATGTTTCTAGACATTGCCAAACTTCCCTGGGGGCAAAATCACTCCCCAGTTGAGAACCACTGCCTTGAGGACAAATAATTCTCACAACTATCTGTCATAAATACAGAAGCATGGTAAAGCTATGGCATTCAAAACACAGCAACAAACAAAAGAAAATGACTTTTTTTTTGGTATCATCCTAATTTTTTAAACAAACCTAAAACTTTCAAACACTGCAGACGAGAATATATTATTGTTGGCTTCTCAGACAATCTGGCAATCAATACATGGCAAGCACTTATGATCATGTCCTCTGATCCAGTAATTCCAGTTCTAGTAATATCACTACAGCATTATTTATAAAGTGTAAAAAGTGGAAAGAATATGGATATACAGTAAGAGGGAAATGGTTTGATTTAGGAAAAATGGGAAGGAACTGCTTTTAACTGATTACCTCTGGATTATAAAATTATGAGTTTTTGTTTTCCTTTCTCTACAATGAACATGCATCACTTTTAGTCTCACATTGATACTGAAGGTTGAGTAATAATTGGAAAAGCAATATGACAGTGGGGTTAAGAGTCTGCGCTTGTGTATGAATCCCAGCTCTATGACCTTGGACAATCAGTCAAGCATTCAATGTCACACTGCTGTGAAGAATAAATCCTGGCACATGCTTAATAAATGCTACCACTTAGAGATAAAATACTTAGGGTGGTAAAAGCTTCATACTCTACTTTCTCTATGGTATCAAAATGCCTCAGTCAAATTAAAAAATTATATGAATCTCAAGAGAAGAGGCCTGCCTTCCTTCTATAAAAGGGAGGTTAGTTTTCATTGTCCTATAGCCCTGAAATCACAGGATGGGTGGGAAGGAAGGAGATGTTGAAAGGATACTGACTACCCTTCCAATGTGGAAATTCCAGGCCAACTATAAGTGAAGGACATGATCAAGAGAAATATAGGCAGCAAGTAGCATGAGGACCATACATTTTCATATATACAACTTCTGAATATGCCCAAAGCTTTCTCATATGCATGATCTCATAGGATCATTGAGAGGTGGTCAGAGCATTTTACAAGTGATGAAATTGAGGTACAGAGATAAAATGCCTTGCCCAAGATCATCAAGTAGCAAAACTACCAAGTAGCAAACTCAACAGGGCATCTAGGACACCTGTCTGATGCTGACTTTGAGAACTACTAGTTTGTTCCAATCCACTAGCTAAGTACTCTTGCTCTAACAGATTTCCACAGGTATCTGTCCTAGCTAGCCCTGGCTCTGGAGTATTGGGCAACATCTTTAAGCTTCTCCTAGCCATAAATTTTAGGTTGACTTAGTCTACATGAAAGGACTATGGGTGTGAGTTTAAATTCTTATGAAGCAAGGTCCTATATAAAGTTTGTGTGTGTGTGTGTGTGTGTGTGTGTGTGTGTGTGTGTGTGTGAAGTGGGCAACTGATTAATGGTACATTTTAAGCTAACTTCTAAAGTTTGAAATTATATTGGCTTTAACTGGGATCATTTTGAATTCCAAGCATTTTATATAATCACATATATAATGGTTGAAAATAAGATTAACTTTAAAGGAAGAAAGTAAAATTGATTAAAAAATTGCCCTGATTTCCTAAAGGTAAGATCTAAAAATTAATTTCATAATACATAGGATACATGTTAAGAGAAAAATAAGTCTAAATTATTTCATATTTAGAATATAAATTCAAATGTGGAAACTGAAGCATCTGAAAAAAATGAGAGAAGCATAGCCTTTTGAAGAAAAACAAAACTTGAGTTTCCAGAACAACTATCTTGGGTTCTTTATTAACTCAATCAAATCAAGACAATCTGCAACTAGATCATTAGAAATAGGGAGTACTGTTAATTAAAACTTGGAAAAAGAAAGAATATAAAAGATTAACTTTGTTGGACATTTACCTGCCAAATGCTTTTATTCATTTTAAAATTTATTTTTATTGATTTCAGAGAGGAAGGGAGAGGGAGAGAGAAATAGAAACATCAATGATGAAAGAGAATCACTGATCAGTTGCCTCCTGCACACCCACATTGGGGACTGAGTCAGCAATCCAGGCATGTGCCCTGACGGGGAATCGAACCGTGACCTCCTGGTTCATTCATAGGTTGATGTTCAATTACTGAGCCACGTCGGCTGGGCTGCCAAATGCTTTTAAATATGATATGCGATTTAATCCGGAACAAGCCAGAGTAATATAAACCATTAGTGGCTTTTAAAGTATTAATAGTAGTTTACTAAACAGTAGTTAAGGTATTAAAACTGGAGATACATTAGAACAAGCTAGAAATACTTTTTTCTTTTTGTTAATCATTCATCAGATGACAATTTAACTTTTTTAACAGCTCTTTTGAACTATAATCAACATACAATAATTTATTTACCTTTTAACTTATTTTTCATCCTAACCCGAGGATGTTTTTATTAATTTGAGAGAGAGACACACACGAAGGAGAGGGAGAGAGAGGCATCAGTTGCCTCCTGCATGCACCCCAACCAGGATTGAACTCAAAGCTTAGGTATGTGCCCTGACCAGGAATTGAACCCATGACCTTTTTTTTTTTTTTTTAAATATATTTTTATTGATTTCAGAAAGGAAGAGAGAGGGAAAGAGAGACAGAAACATCAATGATGAGAATCACTGATCGTCTGCCTCCTGCATACCCGCTAATGGAACTGAGCCCGCAACCTGGGCATGTGCCCCGAATGGGAATCAAACCGGGGACCTTTCAATCAGCAGGCTGACGCTCTATCCAATGAACCAAACCAGCTAAGGGGAACCCATGACCTTTTGCTGTACAGTACCACACTCCAATCACTGAGACACACTGACTAGGGCTCAGCATACAATAATTTAGAGTGCATTTGCTAAATATACCCATGAAACAATCAAGATAATGAATATATCCATCACCCCCAAAAATTTTCTTATTTTTGGAACATCCATAAGAAAAAAGAATAAATGATCTATCCATAAAATAGAATATTACTAAGCAATAACAATAAATGATTATTGATACATAAAACAATATGTGTGAATCATAAAATAATTATGCTAAAAAATTACATCAAAAACAAACCAAAAAAAGCATATTGAAATTACATAAAATTCTAGAAAATGCAAATTAACTTTTTTTTTTTAAGAGAGAAAAAGGGGCTCAGAGAGAAAACATAGCTTCTAGTAGCAATACTGTTAATAAGTGGTGATGCCAGGATGTAAATCTAGTTCTACCAGATCCCCAAACCCAGGTCTATACACAAGACCACAATACCTACTGCATACTTCATAACAAAAGAAGAAAAACATACATCTGGTTATTTGAATATTCTGCCCTAATACTAAAATTTACTAATAAAACACCTAAATTATCATTTATTTTTAAAAGGATATAGAAACAAAAAAGCATAAAGCCTATCAAATAAAATCAACTAATCTTTTAAATGATAGATACCTGGCAAAGAAACAATATAAGCATGGATAATAAAGTTAACATAATTCATGTTTAAAATTACCAAACATCCCAATATCCCACTGGACTATTACAATTCATCAACCCATTTTAGAATATGAAAACGAGTTACAAAAACTTTTAAGTAAATCCTTGCATCTTGAGAAGCAATACTAGCCACTATCCTATATAATAAAAGGCTAATATGCAAATTGTCCCCTTGACCGGGAGTTTGACCAGGGGGCGGTGTCCCGCCCTCGGGAGGCCCCCCCACCCTGATCGGGGCGGGGCTGGCCAACCAACTGCCCGCAGCCCCTTACCCCAGCTGGCCAACCACCTGTAGCCCCTACCCCCAGCCAGCCCAGCCCAATTAGCCCAATCGGGGTCGGCCAGCCAGCCCCACCTGTGCACGAATTTGTGCACTGGGCCTCTAGTATCTTCTATAACAAAAAGTCCTCAGAAGAATAATAGCTAAAAATTGAGTGCTTACTTTGG